ATTAATATTTTAGTAACTATAATTACGAATTATATCAACAATTTGAAACTTTCTAATTAAAATTTAATAATCTATCATAATTTTATATCTATAAATTTTTCAAATCGTAATTTTTTCGATAACTTGTTTTTGATCACTGATTAATAAATCTGACAAGGTAAAATGTTCAAAATCACATTAATCTCTCTAAAATGAAAAAAAAAATCTCCATTAAAATCATAATTTTCATTTTTTTTTATGGTCACAATCATAACTTTCGTCTATAATAAAAAATTTTAAAAGAAACATAAAATATATATTCATAGTATTCTATTACTAATTATATTGAATCAATAATGTTTCAATGACGCACAACTACGTTCCTTTCTTTAACACACATTTTATAATTTGTGATCAAATCATGTTTGTCTCAACTTGAAATGACATAATGAAATCTCCTGAAAATTACAATGAACCAATGGAATTCGCTTTGCATAGCAATGAAACTGTGACTTGCTTATGAACAGAAACTGGTCGCCATAATCTAAATGCTCAGTGCTTGCGAAAATTGCAAAAAAGAAAAAAAAGAAGCTGCAATGCTTCCGACTTACAAAGATAGGTTCTAAAGCAATTACCATTCCATGCCTCAGTACCTCCCTCCCTCCTCTTATAATCTGAATTTGAAAACCAAAGCTATTGACTAATACACAAGCACCATTCTGTGTATCTGAAGCTTGGAATAGCTTCATTTAACAGCAGTATCAAGTATTCATCCAAAATAATCAATCAATAAATGAAGCATTAATTACAAAGAGAAGCATAAATAGTAACTTATAACAGTAAAACATTGATTAATACAGTAAGCAGATTAGAGGATAACGAGTAAAACAGTAAGAGCATAAAACAGATAGAGATCAAAGGTGATAAGAGTGCAAGTACACTTCAACAGTCAGAAGCTAATTGATACAAAAATGTTTGGCTTTGTTCCTCAACAGTTACCAAAAAGGGGAAAATTCATGGGTTCTTACAATATGTACTTTCAAAAGAATTTCATAGTATAGAGTAGTTTCTCTAGATCAAGCAACTCACAGT